GCCATAAAATAAATTTATTAATGTGATTGAAATTTTACCTTAAACCAAGGCCAAAATCAAGTATTATGTCGAATTTTGGAATGTACACCAGTCATATTTTTTGGTTGTATAAATGTTGGTGCTATCTTACTAATTGCCTCGGCAACTATTTTAACATGCCGGTTAATTGTTTCAAGTGAATGTTGAAAAGTTTCACAATCGTGAGGTGTGAGTTAAAGTGACTATATGTTGGTGAGAATAATAAATTTTATGTCGGTGAGAATAATAAATTTTATTAATATATGAAACAAATGGTTAGTAGATATAAATGTGGGGTTGTTTTAACAAAATATAAACTAATGGATCAATTATTGTATTAAAATATCTCAAATCATGATATGGAATCATCATGTAATTCCATATCATGGTTTTTGGAGAATATTGTATCACCTCTCATGATATGAAATCATGAGATGAAATCAGCGTAAAATCGCATGTCCAAACGCTGATTCCATCTCACGATATCATATCGTGATATGGTATCGCATGGCCAAACGCCTACTAAGTCAATTTTATTTGTTCATTATTAATTATTAATCCTTATCTTTTCATTTTTGTTGCATGTGAAATATGCCCGAGTTTTTCATGAACTCCTTTCTCCTTCCCTTGCATTTTAAGAGATCCACAAAGGCCAAATCTTTTCCTTCATTGAGTCGGCCAACCTATTAAAAGTCGACGAACAGGTCCCGAAGTTGAAAGGAGCAACCGATTGAGAAACTTGAAAAGATTGGGCCAAAGGCCTACTCGTAATTCACAATAGTTGTATTTTGTTATTTTGGGCCTAAGCCCTTGTCATTTTAATTGTTATTGTTGGATTAGTTTAGGACTTGGTGAAAGAATTGGGTCTAAGGTCCAAAAGATAGAAAATACTTCTATTATGCTTGAATAAGACAGGTACATATGACTTAAATGGGCCGAAGGCCCAAAACGAAAATGGACCCAAATACTGGTCCAGGCGGACAGAAACCACATTTGGGTCCAACCCTCTTTCCCTCTTTACTTTACTCTGTTTGTTTTTCTTGTTAGTATTTGTCGTTAACCTTAGGGTCAAAAAGTTCAAATCCCCGAATGACGCTCATTTCGTTTTAACAATTTAGCTAAATCGATCATCTTTCAAAAGATTTAAAAGAATAAATTTCAAGAAGTATCTCACTTAGATCATAGGTCAATACTTCATTTTTCCCTCTTTAAAATAGTTCTAACTAAAGTAATTCAATTTTGCAATTCAAGTTATGTTAATTTATTTTAGCCAAATAATTTAATTGTCGGATAACCACATGATATTCTAGGTGCTTTTAAAACCTTCCTAGAATGTTAATAAGAACCTCGAACCCCCTTAAATATTTTCATTAGATTTTCTGTTTTAGTCTTTCGAAAATGATAGTTTTTCTTGAATTTTTCTTTAAAAATTAAGTGGCGACTCTAAAACCAGTCTAAAATATATTTTTCAAATAAAACAGAATGACAACTCTGTTGGGGATTTGAATGGTTCTAGCCTTAAGATTAATTTATTTGGCTACGTGTTTTAACTGTCTACTTGTTTTATTTATCCAATAAATTGAACTGTGACATTCATGACACCAGATTCCCCCAAACGGTAAATAGATTGCATTAGGAAAAAGGCGGTTACGTGGCTTACCATGGCTGTTCTTCAGAAAAAAAACACAAGTTGAAATTCTTGGGAAGTGATAATCAAATAGTTGGCTTGTGGTCATCCAACGTCGTTTATTAGACTTCACCCCGTTGTTTATCTGACTCGGGTAACCGTCATTTCTAAACCAATTCTAATCAACCTAGAGTAGAGTGAAACCAAATCCAAATCTAAGCATTAGCTTAAGACAACTTAATACCCAATGCGTATTAAGTCCATTAGTAAAACCGCCAATAATCATGTCCAAGGTCCACGACCTAACGACATACCATATTATTTGACATTTGAAAGATGTATGTGTGGAAACCTGATTGTTGCTTATTTGGGGGAGGGAATCTTAACCGTGCTTTGTTTTGTAGGTATGGATCGGTTCCCCAAATTTGACATGGTAGTGAAAGCCCCAGTTCTGCTCAAGTTGTGGTACAACGACCTCATCGTGGTTCACAAAAGGGCCCTCAACAAATATATAGGAGCCGTAACAGAACTCATTAACATGGTTGGGTGGCCCGAACTGATTGAAGTCCTCACAAGCTATTGGGACAACGAGATCACCCCAACAATTGAGTAAATTCGGGACGGAAAAGACACAGTCGATACAGGGCTTGAAAGAAGAGTGAGAAAGCAGGAATGGGACAGGATCAGATCTTTGGCATTCACCGTCGCACTATTGGGCACCATGGTTTTCCCACACGGCCCGATCCTTAGTATCAACACCCGAGTGATAATGCTTGCGCACACTCTGTTCCATGGGTATCTGAACCAAGGGCAAGTATAGTATTATACTATCACACCTGTCATCCTTTCCGACATGTACCGTGCTTTGGGAAAATGCAAGGAAGGGCATCGTTACTTTCAGGGTTGCAACCTTCTCCTCCAATAGTGGATAATGAGTCACTTGGTGAAGAGACACGGAACCCAAAAACTCCATACCCTCGATGAGCATAACGCTCTTAAGAGTTTGAATGACATGTTGTTCTGGGCACACTTAGAAAAAAGAAGAACCAGAGAAAGATGGGCTCAAATTTTTTCTGAGTTGAGAGTAGAAAATATCGAGTGGATGTTCGACTGTTTCATCTCGAAAGATGTCATAGTTCGGGGAGACATACAACTTGTGCTTCCTCTCCCAACTATTCGAGGTATTCACCCATATGCATCCATCCGGGTCTTGAGGCAGTTCAAAAGAAGACAAGCTACACCCCCAGAAGCATACTACCGTATTTATGCGTTCGACATTGGGGATGATAGAGTGCCAGAGGCTTTAGAGATGTTGAAAGAATGGAAAAGAGTAGTGCGAATGAATAAGGACACCATTGCCATAGATCGATTTAATGCGGGGTACGATGAAACTTACAAAGCTTGGTTGAAGCGCAATATACATGGTATCTCATTCTCAGTTCCGAACATTTACCGCAGTCTAGAGGACAAAGAGTCCAAAGCTTTGATAGAACTAAAAGATGTAAGAAGAGAAGCCTAGGAAATGCACGAGGAATTTCTCTGAAAGCAAGAAGAGGATAAGTACGCCCTCGAGAGCGTGACTCAAGAATTAGAAAGCTTGAAAAGCGATTTGGGAGAGCTTAACTTGTGGATTGGAGATAAGAAAGCGGAATGTGTCTTGAAGACTGGGAAGAGAAAGGCCGCCGGAGCGAAGGATACTTGCTAATGATTCAATATAGGCTTCAACATCTCATGGCACAGAACAAGAAGAGCAGATCAGAGGCGGGGCCGTCAGAAACATCTTAGCGGATTTCCCCCTGCGTGGGTTTTTCTAAATGTACTTATTGTTATTTGCCCCTGCGTGGGCTTGTCATTCTTGTATTTTGGTACTCCTTTCAAATGACCCATGTGTGGGCGTTTCCTTTGTAATTTTCGTTTATTCCCTACTTCCCCTGCCTATTTTCACTTCTTGAACATCATTTTATATGCGAAATTTGCTTTGAGGTAACAAAATGGTTCAATTCTACACATACATCTTTCAAATACGCTAGGCCTACCGTTGGCACAAAAGGGCCCCCTACTTGTTTAGGACACGTGATATATGCTTGTGCGCTTTAAACTGTTTATGTGGTATTGTTGCTTTGAATGAGGACATTTCGAAAATTTTCTGAAAATTTCCCCAATACTAAATACAAGTCACTACCAAATGTCCGACCAAAATTCCATGAGTCTTAAGTTTCTCCACCACAAATAAAATCCTACCACCAAATCCTAAAAATATTACTCTATCATCTCATGAAAGGTGAAATTGCTGCTAAGATGGAAAAAGGCAAGGGTATTGACATAGATCTAACCGAGGAGGATTTGAGGATGGAATTGCAGCGGCTCAGGCGAGAGATCCAAGAAACCAGAGAAAGGAGAATAGAAGTGGAGTTTGCCACCGCGGTCGCACGAGCAGTAAATGCGGTACTAGACGCAGAATTGGCACCAAAGATGACAAAATGCGATATTATAAGTAAAAAGACAGTTGTTGTGCGGAAGGAACATGACATCTTCAAGAATAACATAACTATGAGACTTCAGAAGATACGTGGAAAATGTTTTTTCTTTAATTAAGAAGCAAATAGTGGTCCCGAAGACCTCACCCTGGAGATACTGAAGAAGATGCCGATGAGAAAATCATTTATATGCCTCCCTTCCTGGGACGTCTGAAAGGAGGAGACAAAAAGATCATTCTCCCAGCTTATGAGCGGATACATAGCGTGGGGGCAAGATTCATGTCATGTGCTCTCATTTACGAGCACCTTAAGGCATCAGTTAGGTTGAAGCCTCTTGAAGGAACCACTTATGGGTTTGGGCATGAAAGCTCTCAAAAGACATGTGCCTACCACCCAAACCAAAGAGGACACTATAGAGGAATGTGTGGAGCTTAAGGCAGCAATCCGCAACTTGATCAACATTGGGGAGATCCCGCATATGTGGGGTGAGAACACCGTTCTTACCTGTGACCAACCGAAGCCAAGTTTGCCGATCACTAAGAACACCTTGTTCTATTGTCACTACTTCACGCCTTTCAAGAAAACATTGTCGGATATCTATAATCAGTTGGTTCAAAAAGGGGTCTTGGCCTCTATCAGAAAGGATGACGAAGCAATCGATCCCGTTGGAATTAAGATCAGGAAGCCCTGCCCTTATTATGATGCCATCGATCATAACATTGGGATGTGCCGCAAGTTTTGCTATGATGTGGAATCCCTCATCAACATGGGAAAAATTCAAGTTAAGTTTGTCCCCCGTGGCTAATACGGCAGTCAGAGGAAGGAACTTCGGTGAAGGCACCATCTATCTTTTAAGAGCTTTATTATCAGTTTTTCACTTTCCTTGTAATCACTAGAAATGAATGAATGAAAATGAAAATTTCCTTTGTATTCGAATTACGTAGGGCCTGAATTCTCTTTGGGAGATACATAGGCAGCCTTTCAAGGCCCGACCCTTATATTTTTCAAATTTTCTTTTCCCTCTCTCATTCTACAAGGAAGTGTTGAATTCAGATCAATAGATGCAAGAAGATTCAACAAGAAGACCTTAGCTCAATGCAATTTAACGTTTCTGAGTCACCAGCCTCAACACAAAAAAATGAGTAAATTCCTGCTTGTTCAAAAGTCAGTCCCTATTTTTCGTGGGTTAACATGTTCTCAAACGAGGCAACTCTTATGTGTTTATATGTCTTCTATGTGATATCTTGCATTATTCATACAGAACTAATACTGACATATTTGCATTTGAGTTGTTTTTCTCTATAGATAGTTAGAACTGATCTGTGTTGATACACTGGCCAATCATCCTTATTTCACTAGATCTAAAGGTCCTACAGATTCCTTCCCCAATCAAAGTTCACAAAAGGGAAAAACAACAATGGGTGATAACAACAAAGAAACCAGTCTTACTGATGTCGTGGTGGCTCGGCCTGCCCTTGCTCATAATAATGAACTGATCCTACAGTTGATGTAACAAATTGCTGAGATGAGGGTCGAGATGCAAAGAAAACAAGATTTGCCTCCTCTGATTTTTGCTGTCAACGCTCAACCAGACGGAAGACCTCCAGCTCAAATTCCCCCTCCTAACGTGGAACAAGCTCAAAACCTGCCTTCAACTCCTGCTCGTAATCCCTCCATCATTGACCTTACCACTCAAAACCCTCTCTACGCCTCAGCCTCTTATCAAACACCACCCCCTCCTCAAAATACCAACCTCCAAGCACCACTCCCCCCTAATGCAAACCACCAAACTAGCCTTCCCCTCTACAGCTAAAACACTAATAACCCACGCACTTCCCTCCTTCACCAAAACCAGTACACCAACCCCCAGACTTTTCCCCAAAACTATCACGCCCCTTTAAATGGTCAGAGTCCCTCTATTGCTCCACCACTATCGCAAAAAGCCATTTTCCAAATATTCGTCCCCAACGAGCATGATGCCTATGGTTCGGAGCTCGACCAGTATGATGAGAGGGAGAGAGAGTAGAGATCAAAGAAAGAGACCGCCAAGATAGATATGAAGGAGGAAATTAGAAAAGCCATGAAGGAGTTGAACTACATTCCTGAGGTCGCCGGGTTGAGTTACGAAGACCTGTGCATTCACCCGAATTTGGACCTCCCGGAAGAGTTCAAGGTGCCAAAATTCGATATATTCGGAGGATCGGGGAACCCCTTAGTACACCTGAGGGCCTACTATGACCAAGTCGTAGGATTTGGGAGAGACGAAGCTTTGTTAATGCAGCTTTTTAGTCAAAGTCTGAGCGGAGAGGCTCTAGAATGGTTTACGTCTCATGAAAACGAGACAGTGGTCTAGCTGGAACGCTTTGGCTAAGGACTTCATCGAACGATTCGCCTACCATGTGGAGATCGTTCCTGATCGTTACTCCTTGGAGAAGCTGAAGCAGCAGCCGACCGAAAGTTATAGAGAATTCGCATATAGATGGCGAAAGGAGGCAGCTAGAGTTAGACCTTCTATGTCAGAAAAGGAAATTTCCGAAGTGTTTGTGCGGGTTCAAGAACCCGAATATTATTACAAAGTAATGTTACTCGTTGGAGCAAAATTTGCTGAGATAGTCAAAGTAGGTGAGACTATTGAAGATCGATTGAGAACCGGGAAGATTGCTCGTGTTGCTGCCTTGCTCGGATCTTCGGGCTTGTTGCACAAGAAAAGAGAGGATGTGTCCTCTATCTCTTATGAGGGGAAGTAGACCCCAAGTAAATCTTCATCGTACAAGGTCGTTCTCGACCTTCACAGAGTTCATACTCGGCTTGTTATGCACAGACTGAATACCAAAATACCCCTCCCCCCAATTATCAAAATACCCTTCCTCCCAGTTATCAAAATACTCTTCCTCCTAGCTACCAAATTCCCTTTACTATCTACCAAACTCCCCCTCCAGTTTACGAAACTCCACCTCATCAGTACCGAAATGCCTCCCCTAATTGTGCCCACGTTCAGACGAATTACCAAACGCCTCCTTCCGTGTACCAAACCCCAGATCCAGTTTACCAAAATACCCCCTCGAACTACCAAGCACCCCTTCCGAATACTCCAAATTATCGTCAAATGCCTCATCCTCAACAAGGCAATTACGATCCCTCCCGTCCTAGATTTGAGAAGAAGTCCGCCAAAATTTTCACTCCGCTTATTGAAAGCCGAACAAAGCTGTTTGAGCGATTAACCGCGGCAGGATATATTCATCCAGTGGGTCCCAAGCCGGTTGACACTAGCTCAACGTTTTACAGACCTGATCAGAGGTGCATGTATCACTCCAACAGTGTTGGACATGATACCGAGGACTGTATCAACTTGTAGCATAAGATCCAAGACCTGATTGACTAGAATGTGGTCTCTCTTCAGACAGTCGCGCCCAATGTCAATAGTAATCCTTTGCCAAATCATGGAGGTGCCACTATCAATATGATAGAGACAGATGATGATTGATGCATGACAAACACAATAGTTGTTATTTCTCCTGATGAACTGGAAATGGCGGTAGCTTCGTTGAGCATCAGAGAGAAGAAATAGTTTGTGATTCTGACGCCTGAGAAGGTTGTTGCCTTGGTCCTGAGAGAAACTCTTATCCGACCAAAATTTGTGATTGAAACGGCTGTTAGTCAAGGCATGACCAGATTTGGTAGGTGCAACACACCGGAAGAATTGGCCCAAGAGGGGTAGAAAAAGGATCAGACTAAAAGACCGATTAGTGAAGCTGAAGCCGAAGAGTTCTGGTGGAAAATGCAGCCGAAAGATTATTCAATTGTGAAGCATTTGGAGTTGACACCAGCTCAGATTTATGTATGGGCTTTGTTGATGAGTATACAACTGCATAGGCAAGCGTTGATAAAGGCTCTGGATGATACTTATGAGCCCGTGGGAACCAACAGTGACAATCTAGCAGTCATGATAAACCAGGTTATCCGAGGACACCGAATTAGTATTTGTGACGAAGAGCTGCCCTTTGAAGGCAGGATGCACAACAAAGATCTACACGTCACCACTATGTGTCGGGACAAGATAATAAATCGTGTCTTGGTCGATGAAGGATCCGATCTCAATATTTGCCCACTTTCGACTCTAAGGCAGCTAAAGATTGATTTAGGAAAGCTTCACCAGAACCAAGTCAATGTGAGGGCTTTTGATGGAGTACAAATAGACACATTAGGTGCAGTGAACTTGGATATTCAGGTGGGTCCCACGGGATTTAACGTCATGTTCCAGGTATTGGATATCAACACCAGTTACAACCTGCTTCTGGGAAGACTGTTCATTCATATGGCTGGGGTTGTGCCGTCTACCCTTCACCAACTAATGAAGTTTGTTTGGAAGGACCAGAAATTGGTCACTTATGGTTAAGGGAGTCATTCCAATGGGTATGCACCGATCGTTGAAGATGTCTCTCGAGGCTGTGATTTCTACACGGTGGAGCTGGTAAATGCCATCGGTGATGACTTGGCTTCACAGCCCCCTATGTCTGTCGTGTACAAGATGATTGCTACCGTCATGCTCCAGAATGGTTTCGAACCAGGTTTCGGGTTGGGAAAGCACTTTCAAGGAATTGTCGAGCCTTTTCAGATCCCCACCAAAGGAGCAAAGTTTGGTTTGGGGTATGTCCCCACAGATGCTGACGAAGCAGAGATGAAGAACAAGAATGTTGATCAAGCACTAGCCAGGCCAATTCCTCATCTGTACCAGTCATTTCCGGTACGAGAAAATGTCAACAATGGTGGTGTTGAGGAAGGAATCTGGGGCCTATTTGAGGAGATTAATGCGGTCATCGAGGAAGAGGCTGGGACATCAGGCATCCGTGATGCAGAGCCTGAAGAGCGAATGCAGAACTGGACCTCCACACCACTGCTGATTTCCCGCTCATCTGGGTAGAAAAGACATACATCTTTGTTTGTTTTAAAATCGGTGGTAATCCGAAAGAGGCCCGAGACCCACCCTTTATGCAACTGTTATTTGTTTGAAGCTTTTAAATAACCTTGTGAAGTTTAAAAAGGCAAAATGACCGTCGGCCATGGCCAAACTGTGTGCTTGTCTTTCAATGTAAATGAAAAACCTCTTTTATTGAAATTTGTTTGTTTACTTATCTGTTTATACTTTACTATCCTAACTTTGTTTATTTATGATTTCAGTAATATAAATTTAAAACCTGTCAATGTCATGTCATGAACCGAGTGAACGAAATGAGGCAAGTGATGATGAGTGTGAGGAATATGAAGAAGAAAATGAGGTACCCGAACATGTTGCTGAGATGTTTCGACAATTCTAGAATCAACACAAGCCAAATCTTGAAGAAACTAAAACTATGAATCTCGGAGATGAGGAATGTATCAAAGAAGTCAGAATCAGTGTCCATCTGACTGAAGCCCAAAAAAGAGACCTGATTCATTTGCTTAGGGACTACATTATTGTATTTTCCTGGTCTTATAAAGACATGCCAGGGATAAGCACGAATATGGTGTCCCTCAAGTTGCCGATCAATCCAGATTTCAGTCCAGTAAAACAAAAGACTCGGAAGTTCAAGCCTGAGTTGAGTTTGAAGATCAAAGAAGAGATTATAAAATAGATCGAGTCTCAAGTAGTGGAAGTGACGCAATATCCGACTTGGTTAGCCAATGTTGTTTCGGTTGCCACGAAAGACGGAAAGATCAGAATTTGTGTCGACTACAGAGATCTCAAGAAAGCTAGACCGAAAGATAATATTCCATTGCCAAACATTCACATTCTTATTGATAATTGTGCTAAGCATGAGATGCAGTCATTCGTGGATTGTTATGCGAGATATCACCAGATCCTGGTGGATGAAAAAGATGCAGAAAAGACAGTTTTCATCACGCCCTTGGG